ATTAGAAAAAGTAGTTATTAAATTCAGCATTCATATATGAGAGTAAAAAACAAAACCCTTTTAACCAATTAGGCAAAAAAATAAATGTTACTCATTTGGTGAAAGGAATCCATGAAAAACCTATAGCTAATATCATTTTGAATGGTGAAACACTGGAAGGTTTGTCCCTTGGGTTTAAAAAAGGCAAAAACATCAACTAGCATCAATTTTGCTAGAGGGTCTAACAAGCTAAATATGTCAAGAAAAAAAAAGTAATACTGAAATGAAAAAGTAAATGTTCCTATTTAGAAATTACCTGAACAGTTACAGAGAAATAAAAAAAATTAGAAGCAATCATTTCAGTTATTAATTGCTCAGGTATAAGCATCAATATTATTAGCAAACAATTACAAATTAAAATTTTAAATTATAATTTTGTAAAATTTTGAAATACCACTTACAATGGCATGAAAACATGGGGTACTTAGTAATAAACATTTAAATTATAAAACATGAAAGAATTTAAGGAGACAATTTATAAAAATTATATAACATTCATGGTTTGGATGACAAATATGTTAAGATGTCAATTCTTCCTAAATTTATCAATAAATTTAAAACAGCTTCAATCAATACCAAAAAATGTAAGCTTATTCTAAAATAACTATAGAAATATCCTAAATTCATTGGAAAAAGAATATCAAAACTGTGGGACTTAAAATAAAGAACTTCAAATTTATAAAACTATAGTAATTAAGAGAGTGTGGCAATTGCATAGTGATAGATAAGTAGAGCATAATAGAAAAAAAGACAGAATTAGGCACATTTCATGTCCTAAATTCAATTACATAAAGTGACCAATGCAGCAATTCAATGAAGATAGAAAAGCCATTTCTAACAATGATATCGGGTATAATTGAACATAAGTTCAGGGTCAATTGCTCATTTACCTTTGTTGAGTCTAAATTTGAAATAACCTTCAGAGACTTCCTTGATTGGAACAGAGCTGAATCTCTGAGTTGTTTTATAACAATGTAGATACCCGGGATCAATGATGATCATCCCAAGGGCATGCTTCAAATATTTCTAACTTACAAATGCTTCCAGGATGGGAACCAAGTATTTCTACCTTTTGGCTTCAGTTTTAGTTAAAATTAGAGAAAGTTTCATAATTATAGAAGAGAAGCGTTTCAGTATAAATTAAGCTTAACCACATCTTGCACAGAATCTATGAAATGCAGTTTAATTGCATTTTAAATTAACTACTAAAATTTATACTCGGCCCAGCCAGCATGGCTCATAGTTGAGCATTGACTTATGAACCAGGAGGCCACGGTTCGATTCCCGGTCAGGGCACATGCCTGGGTTTTGGGCTCAGTCCTTAGTAGTGGGCATGCAGAAGGCAGCCAATCCATGATTCTCTCTCATCATTGTTGTTTCTATCTCTCTCTCCATTCCTCTCTGAATTCAATAGAAATATATTTTTTAAAAAATTATATTTGGTCTTTTTGACATATATGGAGATTTTTCCTAATTTCTAGTTGGCACTGATCTGAAAATCTCCAAAAGATTGTAAAAATAAATCTCTTTAAGAATTTTTTAATTGTATAAAGATTTTTTAAAAATATATTTTATTGATTTTTTACAGAGAGGAAGGGAGAGAGATAGAGAGTTAGAAACATCGATGAGAGAGAAACATCGATCAGCTGCCTCCTGCACATCTCCCGCCGGGGATGTGCCCGCAACCCAGGTACATGCCCTTGACCGGAATCGAACCCGGGACCTTTCAGTCCGCAAGCCGATGCTCTATCCACTGAGCCAAACCAGTTTTGGCAATTGTAAAAAGATTTAATCTTACCCTCCCCCACCTCCCAAAAAATAAATCCGGCCACCACTATATGCCATCCATTTGCATAACTGTTTAATAACAGTATGCATATGTATTAGCAGTGTAAACCTATAATCCCCATGGGAAAAACTTATTCACTGGAGTACAGTGCTTATGCATGGTTATTTTTTGCCTTTTGTCTCTCAGATTCCACTCATTCCCAAAGTTACTTAGGTTAATACATTTTCCCCCATCCACTTTAATTAGGTTGTTCTTTCCCCCCTATATTTACAATGCACTGTACTTGTCAAAATCTGCATTTCATTTTGGGATCCTCCTACTAGTAAATGGTGTATTTAAAATTACATACATTAAGTTGTATAATTCTATGGGTTTTGTCAAATGTATAGTATCATGCACCCACCCTTATAGTATCATACAGAATATTTCACCAACTTAAAAATTCCCATGTTCCCCCCGTATTTAACAACCCTCACTCCTTTTCCTCTGGTAAACATGAATATGTTTACTGTCTCTTTAATTTTGCTCTTTTCAGAATATAATATCACTAGAATAATATAATATGAATCTTCTTCAGATTAGCTTTTTCTAAATTAAATCACTCAGCAATGTGCATTTGAAATTCACTTACATCTTTATATAGCATGATATCTCATTTATTGTTGATGCAGAATAGTAACCAATGTGTTATATACAATTGGTATAGCACAATTTGAATAGTCTTTTATCATTTATCTGTTGAAGGGCATCTTCACTGCATCTAATTCTTGGCAATTATGAAAAAATACTATTAATGTATATGTGCAAGTTTTTGTGTGAATGTAGTTTTCAAACTAGTTGGGTAAATTCCTTGGAGTGTGATTGCTGGATTTTATGGCAAGACTATCTTTAGCTTTGTAGGAGACTTCCAAACTTTATTCCAAAGTTGCTGTGCCATTTTACATTCCCACCAAAAATGATGAAAGGTTCTATTGCTTTACATACTCACCTATTCTTGGTATTGCTTTACTTCTTTTTAATTTTCACCATTTTTAGTGGTAGGTAGTGAAATCTTACTGCACTTTTAAAATTTGCAATTCTTTATAGAAATATATGTTGAGTATCTTTTTATCTGTTTATTTTCTATCTTTATATTTATGAGGTGTATAGACAAATATTTTGCTCAAATTTTAATTGGGTTATTTTTATTATGCATACTAGAGGCTCAGTGCACAGATTCGTGCACTGGTGGGGTCCCTTGGCCTGGCCTGCTCCCTCTAGCAATCCAGGACCTCTCGGGGGATGTCGGAGAGCTGGTTTCAGCCCCATCCCTGCAGGCCAGGCCTAGGGGCCCCACTGGTGTACGAATCCATGCACCGGGCCTCTAGTATGCATATAACATCTTTGGTTACTCTCTTCCTGCCCTCCCCCTTCCCGCTTCCCTCTGAGATTAATCAGTCTGTTCCATGTTTTCATGCCTGTGAGTTGAGTCCCTCCCCCCAGTGGTCAGTGTGTGTCATAGCTACTGGTCGAATGGTCAAACGGTTGCTTAGGCTTTTATATATATAGATATTTAGTTGTAGATTTGATTATTTTTAAATCAACTTGAGAAAGTTCTCTATTCCTTGTTTGCAAGTATTGTTATAAATATGTGCCGCGTTTTCTTTAAAGATGTTTCTTGCCCAACCAGGATAGGTCAGTGGTTGAGCATACACCCATGAACCAAGAAATCACTGGTTTGATTCCCAGTCAGGGCATATGACCAGGTTTCAGGCTTGATCCCCAGTGGTGGGCGTGTAAGAGGCAGCTGATGAATGTTTCTCTCTCATCGCTGTTTCTATCTCTCTATCCCTCTCTCAAACACTCTCTTGAAATCAATAAAAACATATTTTAAAAATTTTTCTTTAATCATTCATATGATGAATAGAATTTTTCTCCTTTAAGATGATGTTCTAGGTTGTTTTTGTTGATTGTTTTTTGAATGTTGAACCAGCTTTGCAAATCAGGAATAAACACCACTTGGTTGTGCTATATAGTTATTTTTATAAATTATTAGCTTCAATTTCCTAATATTTTATCAAATATCTTTGCATCTGTTCATGAGAAATATTTTTGAGACATAGTCAGCATTTTAAAAATTGTTTATTTTTTGGATAATATCTTTAGGTGGCTTTGGTGTCGGGGTATTTCCAGCTTCATAAAATGAAGTGATTTTTTTCTGGATGTGATTTTAGGTAATTGCTGTAATTTTCTTTTCCTTTAATATTTGGTTGAATTCACTGGTGAAACCATCAAAACCTGATTTTGGCCAGAAGGTTACTAATTAGTGATGCAATTCATTAATTAATATAGAGACATTTAGGTATTTAGAACTATAAGTTTCTTTATATGGAAATTTACATATATCTATATTTATGGGCATTATATTATAAATATATCTGAGGAGAAACTGGACTTAAAGATAGTTTCAGTGCTTTTGCCGCTGATTTCAACTTATCTTTTAGGCCATGAAAATATAAAGAAAAGTTAATGCTCAGAGACATATAAAACACTGTTAAAAAGGGGCATATAAGGTAGCCTTTAAAATTTTAATAGAAAACATAACTATTTACAGATTAATACATTTAAATTTTATCAATCACAGCTGGAATAAAGCTAGAATACTGTACCCGGCTATTGTGGCTCAGTGGTTGAGCCTCAACCTATGAACCAAGAGGTCACAGGTTCAATTACCAGTCAGGGCACATGCCCAGGTTGTGGGTTTGATCCCCAGTAGGGGGCGAGCAGGAGGCAGTTGATCAATGATTCTCTCTCATCATCGATGTTTCTACCTTTCTCTCCCTCTCCCTTCCTCTCTGAAATCATATATATATATATATATATATATATTTATATATATTCCATAAGAATGATATAGAGTAGCTAGTGCACAGAAATAAGGCACATTCTGTAAATCCTACTTAATATTTACTGATACCATTGATAAAAATAATTACATATAAAGACTGATGAGCCATATTCTGCCATATGAATTGGACAACAAAGCTTAGACTTTTGACTGTCTGAACTCATTAAAATGCTTACAGAAAGGAGCCAAAATAAAGAAACATTTATGTCAAGCACATTTAAATTTACTGAATTTAATATAACAAGGCATCTCATCTCATATATATTAGGCACTATTTCTTTTTAATTACTTATTTTTAAATAATATTTTTTTCACATGGTTATATATCTGCTTGGTTCTGACTCCATATATGACAGGGTTGAGCATTGGTGGTACTATAACGTAAAGATTCGCTAGAAGTATGTGGATATAGCGAGGGACATTTCGGCCAAAGCGATGTGTCATGAAGGAAAAGAGGGCGGGTGTATAGAAGGCAAGAATTACACAAACATGAGAACCACATGTGCTGAGGGACTTGAGCCGGGCTTCACGGGAAGGAAGGCGGAAAACAGCACGGAGTATCTGAACGTAAGAAAGGGCAATGGCTACAATGTCAAACACTAGGATTGAAATAGCACCCAAGCCATAGATGATATTGATCTTGATGCTGGCACAAGACAGACGAGCAAGACCCATGTGCTCACAGTAGGTATGAGGAATGACATGATTCCCACAGAAGGGCAATCGCAAAATGAGAAATACAAATGGAATCACAGAAAGAAATGACCGCACCACCACACCAAGACCAATCATTGAAACGACCTTATTGGTGAGGATGGTGCTATATCTGAGTGGGTTGCAGATGGCCACATAACGGTCATAAGCCATGGCCAAGAGGACTGCAGATTCCATGCCAGTGAAGTTGTGAATGAAAAACATCTGGGTGAGGCAGGCATCAAAGATGATCTCCCTGAGATTGAACCAGAAGATCCCAAGCATCTTAGGGATAGTAGCTGTGGAGAGACCCAAGTCAATGGTGGCCAACATGGCTAGGAAGTAGAACATCGGCTGGTGGAGGCTGCTCTCAGCCTGGATCACAAACAGAATAGTGAGGTTCCCTATGAGTGCAATCATGTACACAGCACAGAAGGGAAAGCCAATCCAAATGTGGAGCGTCTCCAGTCCTGGAACTCCCAGCAACAGGAAGGAGGCAGGATGATACTGAGTGTCATTGAGAAGGGACATCCTGATAGGTAATGCATAAGTCCATGTTCCTTCCAAATGTGCTTCTGCCAACCTATATGCAGGTTACCAGGTAAAACTCTGCAATGTTTTAAACCTAAAGAAAAATGACAGTTGTGAATATTCTCTTTTTTAGTTAATTCACACAATTAGAAATGTACTATGTAAAAAGCAAAGTGAAGATGTGAATTATCAATAAGAAGGCTTTGAAAGAAGTTACATGTAGATTGTAATAAAAAATACTACATAATATATTCATCCTTCTTGGCACCGTTTTCTCTCTGTTAGAAGAATGGTCTCCTTTGCAATGGTTACCTCATTGGTAATATGCTAAGATTTTGCTTTAATACATGCTTCATTAATTACCTTTTCTTATCATCACCAACATAATTTACTTTCAATTTTAACATTCAAAGGGCTCTATCAGCCTCTATAAATGGTTATTTCTATTAATTCCATTTGGTTGGTTGAATAGTAACACTCAAGTTAACATACAAGATGGGCAGTAAGTGCTGATAAACACCCAGATTCGTTAAGATGTGTTCTCAAATACTAAAAATAAATCTAAAAGGTTAAAATCAACCCATTTGTTAATATTTACTTCTTATTATTACAAAATATGAAGTAAATGTAGTGAAAACAACATTATCAATGACCATTTATTGAGGTATTGCCTACCACTTTCAATGCTGTCAGAACCTTTGCAAATATCAACCTTAATCTTTATAAACACACTTAACTTGAATTTTTACATATGGATTTGAACCTGAAATAGCTTAAATGACTTGCCAAATGTTTAAAATGCTTATAATTAATAAAGGTGTATAAAAAGTAAGTAGCAAGTGGAGAGAATATAATTCAGTTGAAATGGAAAGATAATGGACATAAGAAAAATATAATCCATGCCTCACAGTCATATATACACAGCCCCCTCTTTCACACACAGTTACTCAAACACAGTCTCTTTTAAGCTCACATATGTCTAAAAAAGAGATATCAGTATCCTCACTATAAATCTGAAGCAATTGTACTTTAAGTGTTTAAGATACATGGCAAATATTTTGAAGAAGAAACTAGATAGAAAACATATTCTGAACAAATTGAATCAATCATTTTCAATGATACTTACACTGTTCTTATGTAATTTCATGTACCTTAGAATGTGTATTTTCAAAGCATTTGACCATTCATTATGTGTAACTGTTTTATAGTAAAAAGTGCCTTTTCATGATTTAGCATCACTGGAGGATTCCAAAGAACAATACTAATTATGATGACAGTTTCATTAAGACAATTGTGATATTATGAAGACACTGATACCTGGGAAACAAAGCCAAGAAGAGTGCCCTTCCTGTTCATGATAAATACGTAATAAAAGGAAAGTACAATATGGGTGAGGAAACAAAGAACTCCTAGGACAGGGGTGGGCAACCTTTTTGTGAGTACATGCCAAACCCAGCAAATACTCTGACTCAAAATTCTTCTGTGTGCCAACCCTAATTTTTTGAGAACATGTTACACCTACTTGATATCTCTTAAGGTGTACGTATGTGAAGAACCTTGAAGAAATAATAAAATTCACCCTGACCGGTTTGGCTCAGTGGATAGAGCGTCGGCCTGCGGACTGAGGGGTCCAGGGTTCGATTCCAGTCAAGGGCATGTACCTTGGTTGCAGGCACATCCCCAGTAGGGGGTGTGCAGGAAGCAACTAATCGATGTTTCTCTCTCATCGATGTTTCTAACTCTCTATCACTCTCCCTTCCTCTCTGTAAAAAATCAATAAAAAATATATTTAAAAAAAAAATAATAATAAAATTCCTTCGAGCGACAAAAACACAGTATATGATGATGAAAAATACATTTATTTTTAATGTATACATGTACACTGATAGTCCAACAAAAAACTTTATGACTCCGTTTGACATTATCAGTGGGACTTTTGCTGCTGCATCACTGATGACAGAGATTTTACATCAGGTTTATATTTCGTGACCTTCAGAGATATGCACGAGCTACTACTTTCATCCATCAGGCTACTCCTATTACGAGACTTAACAAAATTCATCACCGAGAACAAAGATTCACAAGCGTATGTGGATGAAAACATGGAGAGTAACGCTGTTGCAAAGTTTTTTAAACAGAAAAAATTTTCTGGAATGGCATTCCAAGTCCTCAATAGTTCGTTTTCAACACTTCTCTCTGGTACTCCTGTCTCTAATCGCTTTTTTTTCAATGTTTTCCAAGTCAACTCTACGGTCAATAAATTTCTGCTTCCAAATTGAGCTACTCTGAAATTCAATCAACTGCATTTCAAAGTCAGCCATGTCTATGGTCTTTAAGATAACTTGTTATGTAAAATTATTTATTTATCTAAGATGCACCTACACTGAATTTATCTGAAAAATAAAAAAGTCGATATTAAGAAAAAAATTGTAAATGGAAGATTATAAGAGAGGGTTTCGCGTGCCAGCAAAAGTTACTGGCTTGCCATGTTTGGCACACGTGCCAGGGGTTGCCCACCCCTGTCCTAGGAGTAAATGTTAAATATTGGAAAGGGATCTAAGAGCATTAGATGTCATTTGAGTGAGACACTCCGTGAAATGTCCAAAGGAATAAAGTCTTCCTACTATGATGTTCTGGCCTGGCCATGGAACAGCGAAAAGGTGTGACATGGACAACATAAGGAATGAAAGTAGGATCCAATTATGAAAGCAAAATTTTCTGTGATTTATCAGTGTAAGTTCCAATGGCAATTTATTGTATTAAATAAAGCCCTTTTATTCATAAATAACATCTCAGAAGATCAGAAATGTAGGCAAATAGTCTCAGAAAAGTAAGAAAACAATGTTTTCCTTTTTTCATCATTCCTATGTGCACTAGATTCTCAAGAAATAAGAACTACTTTAGCTAGTAGGGGCAGAACTCATAATTAAAGAAGAGAATAAGCTGCCTTTCTGAGTTTTGTGAGGTTTTTTTAGTTGTTTTTAGAAGGAAGGATGGTATTATATTCTGTGGACAAAAATAAAATAATGAGGAAATTATATCTCTCAACTCAGATAATTGTATTCTGCAAAAGAGCCTTATTAGCTGGTTAAGTAAAAAGACAGTGTAGCAATAATTTGAAGACATACAGAAAAATGAACTTTTGTACTTGTTTGTCCTGCATCATTATTATTCCGTGAACTGGCTAGATCAAAAAATCTGAATAGCATCTTCCTCCCTTCCCAAGCATTTAAAAACACAACTGATTCTACTTCTTCAATATCTTTAAAATCAGTACATTTGTTCTATGCTGATAGAGCTGGTTTGAATCCTCTTCATTCCGAGGGTTTATTATAGCACAGAACTTTGCAATGCTTAAAAGCATGAGCTCCACCATCAGACTAATTGCGTTGAAACTAACTTTAAAACATTCACTCTGTAATGAAAAGAAAGCAAACAACGAGCATTTTTACCTATAAAATACAGATAAGATAAATGTGTTCATAGTTTTAAACAAGTAATTCATTTAAAATATTTTTGAACCTATTCCAAAAAATACTATGTTATCTGTCATTCTTTAGATATCAAGAAATTGATTTCTCTAAAACGCACAACAAAAGGATTCAGGCTGAAATCTAGTGTTATGTGGCCCTTTTAAAATATGATCCTATTCGTTTCCTAAGTTTCAGCCTTAGTCTTCTTTCCCCAAAGCGTATCCTGTGTCTCTTCTCTTCCTCTCCTACGCTTCATTCTTCCTTCATCCATCACTGTGAAGTAAGGATGCTCTGAGAGCTGCGACATGGGGAAGACTCACCCGGCTGAGCACCAGGAATCCTGTCTCTATCTTGTCTCAACCTGCTCAGTTTTTATGAGAGCACTGCTCTTTGCCTGGGAGGAGCTTCCAATGGAAAAAATCCCCTAGAGGCATTTTGTAAAGGACACAGGTCTCTGAGGATCTAGTGTCTAATCTGGCTTTAACTCAATAAGAGAGAGAAATAAGGAGCTCTGGCTTCTAAGAAAATGAAGGCAGAAAAGTGAAATTTAGGGTAATATGATGACAGAATAGGAGGTAGTATCCCTCTTCCCCTCCCCTCCAGCCACCCCCCATGGAAACACCAAGATAACAACCATAAATCTATGAAAAGACCTTTGTGAGAGTTCCAGAATCCAGAGGAGAGGTTATATGACCCCGGTGGAGCATAGAAGGAGAAAAGACAGATTGAAAGAATATGAAGTAAAGTTTTACTTTACCAACATCACCCCTCCTCCCACCTAGCACTGCTCTGCTCAGGAGAGATTCCCTCAGCCCATGAGTTCTCCCATGGGGGAAAGAGAGCAAGCCCACCCCCGGACAGTGTGTATGTGCGGATGTGTGTGTTCACACATATATATGTATTCACAGGAACACATAGTCGATTCTCATTATTCCCATTTAGTGTTCTATAAAGTCATTCTGAACACTAAATTTAAAAAATAGAACTATTGCTCCTAAGGGAAATGCAGAATTAGCTTCCTGTAGCCTCTTGTCACATTTTGTCAATCAATAAATATGCAATCTTGTTTTAAGTGTGTTTCTCCTTAAAGACACCTCATTTAATACATAGTTCTTACAAATTATTAATTGCATAGTCTTTAAATGGTTAAAAGCCAGGAGCTTAGGCATCCACTTGTATTATATACTTTCATTCACAACATCTTACACAACAAGCCAGTCTCATCAGTGTTGAAAACCTGCTCTTTCACAGAATCCTTCTCCTGTACACTTAGCAGACATTTTAAATTTTTCCTCTGGCCTCCTGATAAGCAGAACCTGCCTCAGCAGTAGGTTGATTGCTTTTCATGCCTTGATGCCTTTTGAAATGTGCTAGCTAGCCAGCACAGTCAATAAGAACGTGACGTTTTTCTGATTCTGGATGATGGTGATATCTTTGACCTTGTAACAGTACCGTCCACTTCACCTTTTTTTAAAATAAGTTGTTATCTCATGAACCCACAAATTTAGCCTCTTTTTCATCCCTTTACCACAC